CCAGGCCACATTTTGAATGCCCGGAGCCAACTGTAGGCCACTTCGTGTTCTTCGTGTTCCCAGAACACCAATTCCTGTACCATATTTTCATTGCCCCGAGCCAACTGTCGGCCACTTCGGAAAGAGCGTGTTCTACCGCTGCTTGGCGGAAAACCGGGGGGGGTCACTACCGGTTCGAACCCCTCCCCCCCCCCCCCTCCGGAAAACCCGGGGGGGTCACTACCGTTCGAACCCCTCCCCCCCCCCCCCCCAGCTCATCATGAAAAGGGGGGGGGGTCACTACCGGTTCGAACCCCTCCCCCCCCCCTCTCGAAAACCCAGTGGGGGTGCGGACAGAGGTGGGGACGGTGTTGGTGGGACAGTGGTGAGGGGACAGCGGGACAGTGGTGGGGACAGTGGGACAGTGGGACAGTAGAGGGCCGGTAGTGGTGGGGACAGTGGTGAGGACAATGGTGGGAACAGGGGGGACAGTGGACAGTGGTGGGGACGGTGGTGGTGGTGACAGTGGTGTGGGCACAGTGGGAATGAGGTGGAAACAATGGGACAGTGGAGGGTACAATGGTGGTGGGGACAGTGGTGAAGGCGGTGGCGAGGACGGCGGTGGGACAATGGGACAGAGGTACAGTGGGGACAGTGGTGGGGACAGTGGGGACAGTGGTGGGAACAGTGGGACAGCTCAGTGGGACAGCGGCGGAGTCGGTGGGACAGTGGGGACAGTGGGGATAGTCGGGCAGTGGTTGGGGCCGTGGAGACAGTGGGGAGAGTGGAACCGTGGTGGGAACAGTGGTGGGGACAGTGGGGACAGTGCGACAGTGGTGGGGGCACTGGTGGGGACACAGTGGGGACAGTGGTGGTGAGGACAGTGGTGCTGGGAACAACAGTGGAGGATGTGATGCGGACGGTGGTAGGGGCGGGAAGTCGTTTGCTGGCCGGTGAGTGGGGGGGTGGGGAGGGGTTTCGAACCCCGCCCCCGGGACTGGGTAAGGATCCCCCTCCCCGGTTTCGGGGGGGGGGGGTGGGGGGGGGTTCCAACCGGTAGTGACCCCCCCCGGTTTTCCGGATCCGGAGGGGGGGGGGTGGAGGAGTTCGAACCGGTAGTGACCCCCCCCCGGTTTTCGAGGGGGAGGGGGGGGGGAGGGGTTAGGGGAGGGGGAGGTTTTGCCGCGGGGGAAGGGGGGGTGGGTCCAGCAGGGGGGGGGGATTTTCGGAGGGGGGGGGGGCGACCCCCGGGTTCCGGAGGAAAAAGTTGGCAATTTTCCACAGTAAAGCGGCGGTGGATCACGCTCTCTCCCACTTCGTGATCTTCGTGTTCCCAGAACACCAGTCCGTGCCATATTGTCAATGCCCGAGCTGAGGCAGGCTGAGGCCGAGGCAGGCTGAGGCCGAGGTAGGCTGAGGCTGAGGCTGAGGCACGCCGAGGCAGGCTGAGGCTGAGGCAGGCTGAGGCTGAGGCAGGCTGAGACTGAGGCTGACGCAGGGTGAGGCCAAGGCAGGCTGAGGCTGAGGCTGAGGCAGGCTGAGGCTGAGGCTGAGGCAGGCTGAGACTGAGGCCGAGGCAGGCCTGAGGCTGAGGCTGAGGCTGATGCAGGCTGAGACTGAGAGGCTGACTCTGAGGCTAAGGCAGGCTGAGGCTGAGGCTGAGGCTGAGGCCGAGGCAGGCTGAGGCTGAGGCTGAGGCAAGCCCAGGCAGGCTGAGGCTGAGGCTCAGGCTGAGGCAGGCTGAGGCTGAGGCTGAATCTGGGGCTGAGGCTGAGGCAAGCTGCGGCTGAGGCAGGCTGGGGCTGAGGCTGATGCAGGCTGAGGCTGAGGCTGAGGCAGGCTGGGGGGTGGGGGGGGCTGTGGGAGGAAGGGGGAGGGAGGGGGTAAAGGGCACGGGTACAGGTGAGTTGATAATGTTGGGATAAGAGGCTGAGGCTGAGGCTGAGGCTGATGCTGAGGCAGGCTGAGGCTGAGACAGGCTGAGGCTGAGGCTGAGGTAGGCTGAGGCTGAGGCCTGAAGGCCTGAGGGCTGAGAGGCTGAGACCAAAGGCTGAGGCCGATGCTTGAGGCAGGCTGAGGCTGAGGCGGCTGAGACTAGGCCGAGGGCAAGGCTCAGGCCGAGACAGGCTGAGACTGAGGCTGAGTCTGAGGATGAGGCCGAGGCAGGCCGAAGCTGAGACAAGGTGAGGCTGAATGGGGGGGGGAGGGGGGGGGGGCGGAAGAGGGGAGGCTGAGGCAGGCTGAGGCCGAGGCAGGCTGAGGCCGAGGCAGGCTGAGGCTGAGGCTGAGGCTGGGGCTGAGGCTGAGGCTGAGGCACGCCGAGGCAGGCTGAGGCTGAGGCTGAGGCTGAGGCTGAGGCTGAGGCAGGCTGAGGCTGAGGCAGGCTGAGGCTGAGGCTGACGCAGGCTGAGGCAGAGGCAGGCTGAGGCTGAGGCTGAGGCTGAGGCAGGCTGAGGCTGAGGCCGAGGCAGGCCGAGGCTGAGGCTGAGGCAAACCGAGGCAGGCTGAAACTGAGGCAGGCTGCTGAGGCATCCGTAGGAATCCATAGGAATCCTTAGGAATCCCTAGGAATCCTTAGGAATCCGTAGGCATCCTTAGGAATCCCTAGGCATAGTAAAGCATCCTCAGGAATCCTTAGGAATCCTTAGGATTTCCTAGGAATCCTTAGGAACCCCTAGGAATCCCTAGGAATCAGGATTCCTAAGGATTCCTAAGGTTTCCTAAGGGTTCCATTGGATCCTAAGGCCGTTGCCACTGCGACTGTCATTGCGAATGCGACTGCGACTGCGAGAACAGCAGAATTCTACCACTGGATTCTCTCACCTGAATCTTAAGGGGAATGCTTCCAGATATGCTTATACACATCGCTGTTAGGTTGCTTTGCCGGGATAATTTAGGATCCCGGATTCCCCTCCCCTTCTCTCATTGCCATGGGGCTCGCTTGCGCCTGTGAAGGACGTGCTTACAGCTCGAGAATGTTTTTTCCCAACCATCCTGTGGTGTGGGGTCCTCGTCTTGAAGAGACAGCGTCCCGCGTCGTCTCCTCCTCTCCTCCTCCCCCTCCTCCTCCACTCCCTGCACACCCCACACACTTTTCGTGGCCCCCTAGGGAGCTCCACCGACGGCCCCGGTGGCAGGTTTCGCATGCTGCTCCCTGCCCACCGCATGTCTATTTCGGCACACTGCTCACACATTTCGTGGCTCCATGGGAGCTCCACCGAAGGTCCCAGTGGCAGGGTTCGCACGTGGCTCCGCGCCCACCGCATGTCCTTTTCGGCACACCCCTGACACGTTTCGTGGCCACATGGGGAGCTCCACCGAAGGCCCGAGTGGCAGGGTTCGCATGCGGCGCCCCGCCCGGGTTTTCGAGGGCTCCCCAGAGGTTTTCCTGTGGGTCTTCGAGGAGCTTGCGGGGACCGCTCAGGGTGCCCCGAGAGGCTCTTCAAGGGCTTCCCGAGAGCCCAGCGGCTTCCCAGGAGCTGCCCAGGGATCTCCCAAGGGCTGTCCACGGCCCCCGAGGCGTGTCATAGGGGGATTCTAAGGGGCATCCGGCATCCCAGGAGCCTGCCATCCCAGGAGCCTCCGCGGGGCTTGCCAGGGGGCCCTTCCCCCCCCGTGGGCCGCCCGCACCCTCCCAGGTCGGAAAACGTCGACAGGCCGAGGCTTCCGGCAGCGTCAAGGGCTCGTCGAGAGCACGCAGGGATCTCCACAGTGGGGCTGTGCGGCACTGCGCGCCTGCACCACCCGCGCGCTGCGGCCGGCAGGCTGACGAGTTTCGGACCTCGGGACCTCCACAGCTGCATCGTTTGAGCACCACTCACGCTCCCCAGCGGGGCGGGCGAATCTGGACGAGCCTGTTCTCATCCCGCCGACCTCGCCGCGCTTTCTGGTCGCCGGCATCGGGTAGGCCACGATGTTGAGCACTGGTCGTTTTGTCAGACGCTTCGGAGTAAGAACGTCGCGTGCGGCAATTGGTCCAGATGACGGCCCAGCGGAGGAGTCCAGAAGTCATCGGCGCGGGGGCCCCGATCTGTCGTCTCATCCTCGGCCGCCCTCGCCAGAGCCGCCACCGCGGCCGCGGTTGCCCCTGTCACGCGAGAGGGGAGTGCCATCTCTTCGGCGTCACCCCAACATATTTATTCCCCAAGCAGTGCTTGCACTGAAGGGGTCCTAGCAGAAGTTGAAAGACTTGGCGAAAGTTTCCCGCCGATCGTGTAGCAGGCTGGGTTCACGGGTTCCCTGTTCCGGGTCCCTGGGTTCCCGGTTATTGGTTCCGGGCCGATTTCGGTGGGTTCTGGGTCCGGGTTCCCGGTCGATCTCCTCACCGAAAACCATCCACTGATTGGGGTTTTTCTTTGGTGTAATACTATGTGTGCGTCGCCCCCCCAGGGGCGACGCGCGCCGAGAAATCTCATAGTACATGCGCTGTGGCGGGCGCTTTCTGGCCGCACCGCTGGTAGAAGCGATACTACACTACAATATGGGTATACTATATATGCTCGGGTCGTGCGCGCGCCTCCAAGGAGGACACACAGTACTAGTACCCTCGTCAAAATTAACTTGAAAAATGGCGACCACGCCCCTGCGATGTCGGCGCGCCCTTCAATGTCGATGGACGCCTCTCCAATGTCGGGGCCAGGGCAAAAGTGGCCTGACCGGGAACGACTCGGAAGTTCGATGATGACCGACATTGGAGGGGCGGCGCATACAAAAATACCTCGCAGCCACCGCTACTCTGGCCAGTGTCTCCCCACAAACAATTTAGCCACGTAGGACGCTTTTGAGGTTGATTTTGACGAGGGTTGTGTAGTATGTCCGTGCTCTTATGTCGGGCGTGTCCCTCTACAGGGGAAATATCCCCAAATAGTTAGTCAAACAATAGCCTGGGGACGATTTGTCGACAATTTTCTAGCATTTTTGGGGGGTATTTTTTGACTGTGTTTAATTTTTCGTCCCAAGCTCCCCCTGTAGGGGGACAGGCCCGACCTGCTCGCGCCTCCCACCTCTATCGCCACCCTCCGAGCTCGTGCTGGGCCCAAGGCGCATGGACCCGTGGGCAGCGGGGCCCGCCTCGCGCGCGAGCGAGGCCCCAGCGGCGGAGTGCCCGCTGCCCCCGGCCTCCCTCGCGGTGCGGGCCTTCGTGGTGGGCGGCCCGCGCTCGGGCCAGTCGCGCGTGGTCGACCTCTGCTGCGGGGCCTCTGAGCTCGGGCGCGAGGCCCCGACCTCGGCATCGTTTGCCCGATCCCCCTCCCCGTCCCCATCCACACCTCGAGCCCCACCGCCTCGCCACCTCGGTTGGGGACATGCCCCTCGGAGCCCGAGGAGAGCAGCCTTACATCCCCAATCCAGGGGGGTGAATCGGCCAGTGGGGCACCCAGCCCACGCTGGTGGGGATGGGGATCGGTTCACCGATGCTCAAGGCCCCCGACGTCGTGCTTTTATCGCAGCGTGGCTCCCCAAAGGTCCTTGCCGGGAGCCGGGTTTCCACCCCGAGCCGTTCTTTGATGGTCCCGGGGCCTGGCGAGGGCCTGGCGAGGGCCCCGAGCGACCAAGACGGCGAAGAACCTCTGTCTCGATTTCTTCAAGACGTCGGAGGTCTGGGCCTGAGCTCGGGCGCGAGGGGCCGGGGCCCTGCTCCTGCGTGCTGCACGACCCGCTGCGCGGCGCCTGGTCGGTGGAGGTCTTCTTCTCGGAGGTGCCACCAGCGGCCTCGCTGGCCGAGTTCTGCGGCCTGGCCGCCGGCACGACGCGCGCCACGGCATGTCTGCTGCTGGTGGTGGACTCCACGAGCGCGGCCAGCTTCCGGGCGGCGTGCGAGAGGGCGCCGTGGGCGGCGGCGGCTGGACACCTCCCCACCTTCGTGCTGAGTTCGGCCCCCGCCGCCAGCGGGGAGCGCCAGGCCCAGGTGGAAGAGATGCC